TAGTTCAACTCAAGAGCTTATATACCGATTATTTTACTCTTGAACATCCAATGTGGAATGCACTTTAACACCCCCCCACCCTCAAGTGGACAAAGGAATGTCCATTTGATTTGTGGCATAGGCGTTTGGGGCATCCCTCACCAAAAGTTTTATCTTTTTTGCCAATTACTAGTTCTAGCAAATCTAGTGTTTTAAATAATGGCCCGTGTGCTATTTGTTTGCGTGCAATGATAGAATTTAGGATCGAAAAAATTACTGCTGGGTAACCTAGATTTGGTGATAAGAACTGCCAGGTCCTATTATTTTTTAAAATGTACTCCGGGGTACCTTAAAATAATAAAAAACTTACTCCGAGGTGACATTCCGTCACTTTCTCCGTTAAACTCCATTCTCCGTTAACTTCTTCTTCTTCTCCATTTTCGATTTCTTCTTCTTCTTCTTCTTCTTCTTCTTCTTTTTCTTCTTCTTCTTCTTCTCCTCCAACTCCTCCACCTTTGGATCTCATCCAGCCCTCCACCCTCCCCTTTTTTTCTTCTATTTTTGTTTTGCTTTAAATTCTTTTTTCTTGTTATTCTATTATTTTTATTATTTGTTATTGTTATTATTATTATTACTATTATTATTATTATTCTTAAAATTAATTAGTATTTTTACCACTCTAATTTTTAAGAAAAAATAGTGTAGTAGCACTTATTATTATAACTTCATTTTTATTATTAGTATTTTGTTCTTATTCTATAATTATTATTAATTACTCCGTATTATTTTTGTTCATAATTTTTAATAATATTATTAAAAATAATTATTAGTTTTACTACTCTCTTTTAAGAAAAATAACAGTGATTGTTATTTAGAAAAATATAACTTATTATAAGAAATGCTTATAATTATTAATAGTATTATTTATTAAAAGCAATTATTTAGTAATTTTGCTACTATACTTTTTTATAAAAATAATAGTACTTATTATTATTACTTTGTATTAATTTTTATTTACTTCTTATTATTTTACTTTTCTACTATTATTTTAATATATAATTATTATTAAAAATTAATGAGTAGTTTTATCACTCTTTTTTAATAAAAATAACACTTATTATTATTTATAAAAAAAACTTATTATTTAAAATAAAACTTAATATTATCATTATAAAAAAATTATTAGTACTTTCACTATTCTAATTTTTATCATTCGATGTTGTTTTTCGCATTAGTCACGCAGTAGTCATCGATAGCTTCCATTATGAAATGTGACATATAATTTATAACCAAGTGAATAAATAATCTTAATTTTATAAACTATACATAAATATATCATACAAAAATTAATTTTTTATTAAATCTTAAATATATTTTAACCTACTTTTACGCAAGTGAAAAAATAGAAATTGAAAAAGGTCAATGGGGGCATACAAAATAAAAAAATAGAAGAAAAAATTATAAGAAGTAAATAGTAATTATTACTGTTATTTTTCTTAAAAAAGAATAGTAAAACGATTAATTTATTTTTAATAATAATAGTAATAATTATTAATAAAAATAATACAGAGTAATTAATAATAATAATAAATATAATAGTATAAGAAGAAAATAATAATAAATATGAAGTAAAAAAGAATAAGCATGGTAAAACTTCTAATTAATTTTTTTATAATAATAATAATAATAATAATAATAATAATAATAATAATAGGTAAGAAGAAAAAAGAGTTCAAAAAGAAAAAAAGAAGAAAAAATGGGAGGATGGGAAGAAGAAGAAGAACCGAAGGCGGAGGAGGGAGGACTGGAAAAGGTGGTGGAGGAGGAGGAGGAGAAGGAGAAGAAGAAAAAGAAGAAGAAACTTGGGTACCCAGCGGTTATTTTTTCATTTAGGATGGGGTAAAGATAACTGGAGTTGGTAATAAGAAACTTGGGTTGAACCACATTAAAAAATTAAATTTAATCGATTAGTTAGTTCAACTCAAGAGCTTATATACCGATTATTTTACTCTTGAACTTCCAATGTGGGATCCACTTTAACAATGACTTCATACATGCAATGTAAATGGCTTCAAAATTTGGTAAATGGAAATAGTCATAACACGAAGGAGAAATTGGTAGGATTTTCTGCGAACTTAGATTTATGTGGCTACTATAGGCTTCTTTTCAGCTTCATGTTTTTGCCACACTTTAGGATTCTTGTCTATTTCATGTTGTCGCTGCCACGCTATTTGAGTTAAAGCTTTCACCCTTATCTAAAAATCATACTCCGTAACAAAGAAAAAGAAATCAAAATGCAAAAAATATGTTCGTCAAGAATTCAGATATGTGAACCTATTTGCGTAGAGGACCCAGACACCATGACTGCAACTCTTTAAGAATGATGAAGAATTCACATCAAAAAAAGCATAGAGCAGAAATTAAATCTAATATAATATGGTAAATAAGATCAAGATTAAAGAGATAATTGGAGACTAGAGCAGTGTCAAAGACAATGTTGGAGAACACTTGCACTTATATGCCAAACCATAAGAGCATGAACAATAGCAAGGCATATTCAGAGATGCCACACGTTGACGTGTCACAGTTCAACCAATCGAAAACAGCCTTGTCATGCAGTGGCATGCCAGTGGAGTGGCATGCTCTACAATGGCAAGTCATAATTTTTTTCAATGTTTACATTTTTTGACATATTTTAATTAGTCCAAGTATATTTATTTTTATTTTTTTTGTAATTATATGTAATTTAATTATTCAAAATTATTTAAAATTGTGTAGTCTTGGATATAATGTTAATTTAAAAATATATATTTTTAGCTTTAGAACCAAGGATTACGTTATTAGTTTTNTAACTTTTTATATTTTTTAGATATTTATTACTCCGTATTATAAATTAGTTTTCATATATTTGTATCATAAAAATATATCTATAAAAATAACTAAATAAGAAGTACTAGTATTTCTTCTTTTTTTCCAAAAGAAAAAAAAAGAAAAAGAATTGGAGCAAGTAGCCTCGCACATGCCACGGAAAGAGGAGTAAGCAAGTCATGCCTCGCCCAAATCAACCGTGTCAAATCCTATGTGGCATGCGTGGCAGTGGCTTTGACACGCCACTGCCCATGCTCTAACAATGGAAAACAAAAATTTACACGTATAACAAATCTTTTAGTTGTACAATTGAGCAACATTATGTTGGAAATTTTGATAAATTGGACAATTTCCGGACATATATTCGGTAGGGTCCACAAAATTATTTTCCGAAATAATTATGGACGTTTAATCTCGTAAGTGAAATAAGTGTTTCGACACATTACACGCCAAAAATGGTGCTCGGGTGAATGAGAAATTAATTCACAAAGTCGAACACATGGGAAGAGTAAAGGTCTTTGTCCCACACCGGATCTTGAACCTTTCACATTCTCATATTTAAACTTGAGCACTTAATTAAGCTTATGAAAGGAACAAGAAGAGGACTTCTTGTGCGCCGGCGCGCCGGCGCTGCCGCCGTCCGTCCAACATGTCACGCACGTGCTGGGTTGGGGCAAGGCGCGTTGCGCTCGCGATGGGGCTAAATTTTTACGAGACCGAATCAAACGCGCGTGGGTAATGAAGTGTATGGAGTTAAAACAAATGAAAATTTGAGAAGCCCTACAATACCAACAAAATGCCCTACAATACTCAACACATTATTGTCAAAACAAATGAAAGAAGCAATCAACCGAAGGAAAATTGATTTGTTTTGTTTATCTCATGGCAAGGATTATATCATTTATTTTCTATATATTTAGAGATGAAAAAACCAAGAGAATGGAAGATTGAAACTCCCTAAAAATGAAGCAAAGTGCTCGAAAATCTTGAAAAACATCAAACCCAACAACATGTTTCAATGAAGCTAACAATGTACGACTTGCATTCACAAGAGAATGGAAGATTGAAACTCCCTAAAAATGAAGCAAAGTGCAAGAAAATAATGAAGTACAAATTATGTTTGAACTTGCAAATGAATAAGGCAATTATTCTTCTCCGGAGGCTCACGTCTTTGTTTCAACCTAGAGAAATGTGATTTGAAAGCTACCATGGATGCAATACTCACCATTGCGTTGCACCAGTGTACCACCAAAATACAAATTGAGCTAAAAAATGCCCTAGAATTAGTAGCCCATAAATCAACACAGCACCTTCATACATCACTATGTCAAAAACAGATGTTGACAAATGTTTCTTTTAGTAGTTTTACAGAGCTGATTTCAGTAGTTTTCCGAGCAGCTGTATGATATATTTACACACTATTCTTTAAAAACAATTGTGTAAAAAGGATGACAACACCTGTTTTGTAATGTTTTAGAGTACGACTTTTTAGTGTTGTCCTTGTATGAGCAAGACATCTGTTTTTTAGAGTTAAAGAGAACTGTGATTTTTTATTGTCTATCTATAATGAATACTACTGTTGTTTTTAACTTCAGACTCCTATTTCTTGGTGTTGTCGTTCAGCAATATAGACATCTACTTTAAAAAGTAATTGAAAGATATATCAAACTGCTGTTCGGAAGAGTACTAAACAAAAATAGCATGAGACGTACAACTATTATCTTTTGTTGTATTTCTAGAATAGGGACTACTAACATTATTCTTATTCAAACTACTGTTTGCTTTAGTTGTATATTGATTATTAACACAATGGTCTTTTGTAGTTTTCATTGAAGTATTCAAACTATCTTTTATGATAGTAGTTGAATTGTTTATCAGACAGCTACTCTACTCTAAAGATTACTAAAGAAATTTGCTTCAGACAACTATTATTTCACGTTGTATTTCAAAAAATATGAACTACTAATTTTGTAGTATTTCAAACAACTGTTTGTTTTGATTGTCTAAATGTTATTAACACTACGGGTTTGTGTAGTTGTACATATACCTTTCAAACTATTAGTTTGAATGGTAGTTGAATTTTTTATTAGACATCTGTTATCTTGTGTTGATTACCAAATAAATATAAATTCAAAAAATACAATATATTGAACAGTATATAAATTCATACATTTAAAATAGTATTAACATCTAATAATTTAATATTTACATCGTCTTTCTTACAATTTGCATATTCTACATGCCTGCCTCTTCAATCCATCCTATTTCTATGATATAGGTTGTTGCTCCTACAAAGGAACAAGTGAGGAACCCAATCCTTGAAAATCTTTGTGGATTGAACATGAATCTCTCTTCTGCTATCAGAAACCCAATAACTCCTGAAATGATCGTTGTGAATCAAGAACCAATGGTTGGAGACAGCCACCTTGAACGTATAATCTCTAGCCATTCCATGGAGTTGGTTGAACCTATTATTGAAGTGACAAGTTCAATGAAGGAGCAGGAGGTGAAATTCCCCATAACAGACAACTTGATGTCATTCACTTACCGAATAGAAGTGTATGGTTGAACTGTCAGAACCAGCAAATCATTGAGAGAGACTGAACTCTCTCCTTAATATATTGCTTTCTCAAGGTTCTATTTTTATTGGCAACGTGCGTTTGAAACAGATAAGTAAGTCAAGTTACACAATAAAAACTTATTTTGATATGATAAATGAATGTAATAGGAGCAATGATCTACACAACATGGAGATACAAAAAAAAACAAATTACATTGCAGATGAAGGTCTTCAATACTTTGCACTCACCGGGAACTTCATTTGCAACTACTTCGCTGAGATCGGGGAAGAAGTCGACGTATGATTAAAATCTGGAACTGTTTGGGCCTTCTTTAGTTTTTATTTGTCTATTTTTGGCACTTTGTATCTTCTTTTGCCTCTTTTACCTTCGGGTTTCGGTCTTGTCCCCCCCGAACGTGATATCTCTTGTACTCCCTCCCCCTGTCTTAATAAAATTAGGTAGGAGTTCCCCGGCTCTACCACACCGATTTTGGTGCTTCTCTCCGGGAATATATATATATATATATATATATATATATATATATATATATATATATATATATATATATATATATATATATATATAAGGGCGAAAAAGATGTGGAGACCAAGCTGTTCAATGTTGATGAAGCTTGTACTGCTCTTGTCTCTCTCAGTGGTGCGAGGAGCTCTGTGCCATGGCAATTTCCAAGCCTTCTACTTTGTGCAGCAGTGGCTGGGTTCTTACTGCAACCAGAGGGGCACCAGATGTTGCTACCCACCCACTGGGAAGCCAACCCCCGACTTCACCATCTATGGTCTCTGGCCTTATAACTCCGACGGCAGCTTCCCCGACAATTGTCCCGGCGACAGTTTCAATGTCGCTCCGCTTAAAGCAATGGAGGACAGCGTGCAGAAGGCTTGGCCATCCTTCACATGCCCACTGATAGGGAGGAAATTCTGGCTACACGAGTGGAACAAATACGGGACTTGCTCAATGTCCGCGGTGCTCGAGCTGCACTACTTCGAATCCGCAATCGACCTCAAGAACAAGATCAACATCCTCCAAGCGCTTGCGAAAGCTGGAATCCGGCCGAACAACAGGTTTTACCCTCTCAAGTCCATAAAGAAGGCGGTCGAATCGGCGTTCGGGTTTCACCCGTGGGTGAACTGCAACCACAACGCGAACGAGGAGAGCCAGATTTGGAAGATCACATTGTGTGTGGATAGGAGTGGCAAGAAGCTTGTGGATTGCCCGTTTATTCCCAAGGGACGAATCGAGTGCGCGACCGAGGTCTTTTTCCCTTCTTATTACTAAGTCGGTACGGTCTGCAAAAAAACCCCGAACCCGATGGTTATATCGGAGCGGTTTCGTTGGCCAGAGAATATGTATTTTTTCGCACCAACTAATCGACAATCTGCTCTCGTTTTGATTTCGTACATTGTGTTTCTGCATTTTGTGTTAACCTTGGATTGGATTTGGAATGGCTACAAACTACTCCCTTTGTTCCCTAAAATATATATATATATATATATATATATATATATACATATATATATATATATACATATATATATATATATATATATGTATGTATATATATATATATGTATGTATATATATATATATGTATATATATATATATACATACTAAATTCTTCACTGAAACAATAAACATCATTGTCTATGCCTGTTTCTACACCCTAAAAAGGAGGCTCATATATGAGAAAAACCAATGAGAATTCAAAATTTCGGCATCTAAACTATACGAAGGCACATTGATGCAATCCTTTTTTTCCAAAGAAAATGTCATCAATTCATATATGTGCTGTTGAAAGTTCAAACAGCAATATATATTTTATATATATATATATATATATATAGTGGTTCCCCCTGTAGAGATGGTCACAGGGTTGATTGGCGAACCACACCACCCGGGTTCGATCCTCAAAAGGGGCAACTTTGGAGACATTTTCCTCTCGAAAAATTCTTGTCAATCCTGGGAGCCTTTGGCGGTTGAAGAAGAGGTTGTGGAAATCATCACTCCTATTGGTTACCACTCAGAGGGAGATCATGGTCATACCATTTCTAATCAATCCCCTCTTATTCCTATTGCGATGGACCTATCACACTGCTCCAAGGTTTCCATGCCCTTACAGAAAGCTGCTCAGGACAAACCCTTTACATCCACGCATGGCTATGCTACCAGGAGCAAGGCCAGGAAGGTTGTACCTCCCAACCTTTTCTCATGAAGCTCATATTTTGGAATGCCTGTGGGGTAAGTTCCTCCCTCAGCAGGCTCATATTCCTCAAGAGGAAACACAGCCTTCACTTCCTTTGTGTTATAGAACCCATCACAAATGCCAACCAACTTGAAATCTTCAGGCTACATTTTGGTTTTTCTAATGCAATTAGTTCCTCAAACAACAAGAGATGGATCTTATGGGATAATGACCACCTTTCTCTTACCTCTTTCCAAGACAGTAACCAAGTTTCACACTGCCAGTTCATTCAAACTTTCAACCAAAACCCAATCCTTATATCCTCAGTTTATGCAGCCCACACTATACATGAAAGAAGAGAACTTTGGAGTAATCTTCAAGACACTAGCAAGGTCACTCACCAATGGATTGTTGGGGGGATTTCAACACTATTGCATCCCTCTCGGAATTTAAAGGAAAATGCATCCCAAACACTCAAGGAGTGGAAGAATTTGCAGAATGCATTTCTAACAGCAATCTCATCTCTCTTGATCCACAGGGGGGCTTATTCACCTGGTCTGGGATTAGGAGCCAAGGAAGGACTTGGAGGAGACTGGATAGGGTAATGACAAACCTGCCACTCCTAGCTTACTATGATGAGGTCTCACTCAAACATCTATCCAGATTCAACTCTGACCATAAACCACTTTTAGTCCATTGCAGTAAAGCCAATTCCACAGGTCCAAAATCTTTTAGGTTCATTAATGCTTGGACTCTCCATGACTCCTTTCACACTCTGGTAAAAAACACCTGGGAATGCCAACAAACTACAAGAAGCTCTCAGAACATGGAACAAACTACCAGCCAACTATTGGTGGAATGAGGGGATTAGCCAACAAACTTTTTAGCCTTAAAGCAGCTCTCAAAACATGGAACAAGGAAGTGTTTGGGAACATCTTCTCAAAACTACAAGAAGCAGAAGACCAGTTCATCAAATCAGAGATGGACTTTGAATCCAATCCTACCCATCAGAATAGAGAAACAATGCAGAAAGCCAATGTAGAGCTCATCTATGCTACCAATCTGGAGGTACAATACTGGAAACAAAAGGCAAACATCAGATGGCTTGATAAGGGAGATTCCAACTCCAAACTTTTCCAAACATATGCCAAGGGAAAGAGAAAGAAACTCTCTATTTCACATGTTATCAAATCCAACGGTACAGGCACCAGTAATCTTTCAGATATCAAATTAGAAGCCATCTCCTTTTTTGCTAACAGTTCAAAAAATCCCACCACCCCTCCTTTGAACAAATCCTACCCCTCATCCCATAGACTCTAACCAGTGAAGACAACTCCAAAATTTGTGCCAGTCCCACTTTGGAAGAAGTACATCAGGCAGTTCGGGACCTAGATAAAAATAGTGCAAGTGGGCCAGACGGTTTCAATGGAAACTTTTTCAAAGCCACATGGAACATAATCAAATTGGATGTTCTCACTGCCTCTCAGGAATTCTTCATGGGTTTGCCAATTCCAAGAGCTTATGGCAGCACTTACTTGACACTTATTCCAAAATCAGATAATCCAAGAACTTTTGATGATTATAGACCTATATCCCTCTCCACTTTCATGAGCAAAATCAATACCAAAATCCTAGCAGGCAAGCTCAATACCATCCTTCCTAAGCTTATCTCTAAGGAACAAGCAGCCTTCCAGAAAGGTAAGTCCATTGATGACCATATCCTCATGGCACAGGAAGCAGTCCATCTCATTGACAAAAAGACTTTTGGGGGTAAGCTAATTCTTAAGATGGATATGGCAAAAGCATTTGACAAACTGGACTGGGAGTATCTCGAAGCCTTACTACAATCATTTGGCTTCAATCAACTTTCCACTTCTCTGCTTATGGCTAATCTTAAAGGAAGTTTTTTCAGCATTCTTCTCAATGGGAAGCCAGCAGGATATTTCAAAATGGAGAGGGGTGTAAAACAGGGAGACCCACTCTCACCCCTCTTATTCATACTTGCAGCAGATGGTTTCAGCAGACTCATCAACCACCAGATGAACACACAACACCTCCTCAGATTCAATTATGGTCAGGTCCCTTTCCCCTCCCACCTTATTTATGCTGATGACATTATGATCTTTTCCAGGGGTGAAACTAGAAACCTGCTCAAGCTCAAGGTCACTCTAGAAACTTACCTTAAAGCATCTGTAACACCCCAATCCGTATAACCCGGAATTACACGAATTAAGGTGAAACAAGAGTTAAATAAAAATTTCGCTTGACATTTGAAAATGACAATTTATTATAAATGTTAAATTTACAGACTCTGGATCGCGACCCATTTAAAAATATTTTCAGAGTAATGCGAAAATACAATAATAATCAAATCATGACACATTTTAAAATCTGATGATCAAACATTTGCCTGCTATCCTTGCATCTCCTCTGACTCAATGCCCTCCGGGAATGGTTCCATCATTGTATTCTTGTTACCTACGTGTAGTCAACGAAAAATACAAACTACACGCTCAGCGAAACCGCTGAGTGGTACCACGCTAGAATTGTAGAATGATTCATAGACATATACATACATACATATATATATATATATATATATATATATATATATATATATATATATATAGGGGCCGGTTCCTGTGAGAATGCACCTTGTGGAGAGAAATGAGAATGAAATCTAGCCGTTGGATCTGATGCATCATGCGGCTCAGATTGCATCCTGCGCTCAGATTTTGAGATAGTGCATTTTCAAAGGATTATGATGCATTTTAGCGTGATGCATTTTCAAAGGATTTTGTTGCACCTAATTTTGATGCAATCCTGACCCTTAGATCGCACAATCTAAAGGACCAGATTCATTCTCATTTCTCTCCTAAGATCGCATTCTCACCAGAACCAAAATCTATATATATATATATATATATATATATATATATATATATATATATATATGTCCACAAAAATGTATATTAAAAATTATGATATGGCACATTATATCATATGGTCAATTTGATTAATCATGATGATAAATATTTAATGATAATTACATGATGGCTTGTGAGGATGATTACATGATACCTATGTAATCAATATACTTTTTCTTGATGATGATTACATGAAACCTATGTAATCAATGTAATTGTACTTGATGATGATAACATGATGCATGATCATATAACTTGCAAGGACACCCTTGCGCTATGAGATTCGCCCATTTGGTACGACGAACTCACGCGTCCTTAGTCTCACGAATGAGGTGAGACTAGAAAATAGGGGTGGTACCCGGAGACCTGAATACCATGTACGTACACTAAGCCCGAACTTGTGATGTCGGACTACTAAGTCCCGCACAATCACGCTATAAGAGACGCAATTACGCATGATCTCTTACGCATGCACATGATGTGATATGCTTCAATATAAATGTTGAAGTGAATGACATGATGTGAACAATTTGCAAACAATATGAATATATAATCATGC